TGGGTTAAAAGCAGAGAACACATTTCCCTGTGTGCTGTGTGCTCTGCATGTGTGACCATTAAAGAGGGTTTCATCCCTCCCTATTCTTCTTCTTCTTCTTCTTCTTCTTCTTCTTATTCATTCGTTTTATTCAGCAGGATAATCTCCACATATTAACACCACTTAATCTTATACTTAAGCGTAAATGCAATCACCAGAAGCAAAATGTTGGGCTTTAAAGGAACTACAGCACGGTCACATGACTTCACGTCACCACCGCTAAGCTAAAGGTGGCTAATGTTGGGCTATAAAGGAACTACAGCACGGTCACATGACTTCACGTCACCACCGCTAAGCTAAAGGTGGCTAATGTTGGGCTATAAAGGAACTACAGCACGGTCACATGACTTCACGTCACCACCGCTAAGCTAAAGGAGGCTAATGTTGGGCTATAAAGGAACTACAGCACGGTCACATGACTTCACGTCACCACCCTAAAGGTGGCTAATGTTGGGCTATAAAGGAACTACAGCACGGTCACATGACTTCACGTCACCACCGCTAAGCTAAAGGAGGCTAATGTTGGGCTATAAAGGAACTACATCACGGTCACATGACTTCATGTCACCACCGCTAAGCTAAAGGTGGCTAATGTTGGGCGTGGTGACGTCGTCTCATTTAGACACTTGTTAGCAACCACCGTTTCTGAATTCACCAGTGGGGTATTTACTGAGGTATTTTATGTCATAGAACAAAAATCTCTTCAGCTTATTTCAGGCTAACAGCGAAGCACGAACAAAAATGTTATTATTGTTAACACATTATTGGGTTGTAGCCGGACTCATTCCTGTTGCACCAATCAATTATATCCATGCTCGTGAATGTTTTTATCTTTACGAACCTGCCAGTAATATACAGATGTCTCCTTTCAGTGGTTTGGGAACTTGGTGACGACGCGCTGGTGGAACGACTTGTGGCTCAACGAGGGTTTCGCCACCTACGTCTCGTATCTCGGAGCCGACTTCGCTGAACCCACATGGAATATGGTGAGTTTTCTTCTCTTGTAGAAATACATCCAAAGAAATATCAATAAGATGGCTTTAAGTTACGTGTATTTAGTAAGAAAACAGAACAATTTAATCAAGACTCGTTGCACTCGGTGTTGTGAGACCCGTGAAGTGGCAAAAGTTTCTTAATATAACATTCAGTACTTTTAAATGTATTTTTTCACATTGTTACCCTGCTAGTAATCCCCATTTCTTATACTACTACTCCAGTCTTTAATTTCTATTTATGTGCAGTTCCTTGTTCTGTTTTTTATGCTGCTGCAAAGCAAACATTTTCCCAATTTGGAATCAATGAAGTAGGCTACCTCTTATCTTATTATCTTTAATGTAGCAGTAATGTCATTACGTCTTTGTTTATGTTATTGTAAAGAGTTACAGTTTCCTTTTTGTTATACTTCTGTAATCCTGTTACATGTTATCCCTTAATCCCCAAACATGCGAGTTGAATACACTGAATTAACCTTATTCTTAAAGGTCCCATATTGTTAAAAGTGAGTCTTTTTATATTATTCTATAATATTAAGGAAGCATTGATGTATGCTATCCATAATACAGGGCTCTCAAGTTTTGAACAGAGTTCAGAGTGAGATTTTGGTACTCCAATTTCTGGCTCCACTCAAAGTTCCCATGAAGCCCTCTGTATCGCGAATGTCAACGGGTGCTAGTGGAGTGCACGCGTCTCAAACAAGCCTAGTTTGTTTACAAAATTGCGGCGCAACTTGGTGGGCGGTACCCTGGAAAGAAATCTCTGCGTGAGAAATACAAGGTGTGGCATGTGAGCCTGTGAATGGAGTGAAATGCGTGTGTCTCACGCCAAATGCGTGAGACTTGAGAGCTCTGATAATATAAGGTCGATTTACTCAGTTAGGACTCTTTCTATGCAAAGAAATTGAAGAAAACTTGACTGTAAATGTGGCTTTCTTTCTGGGTTATTGTTCTTAAAGAGACAGGTGCTAACATTGATCATTTCAGACAAAAGGGGGATACATGTTAATTCAGACAGACAGTATGGGAAAGATAAAACATTTTTTGTACAAACCCAAAATCGGAATGACAAGTTAAAAAAACGACAGCCAGAAAAAGTGAAAAAATAGGAAATTGAGAATAATAATTCCTCTTTAATTAAATTAATCTAGTGTGAACTGTATAGAAATCAATGTAATGTTTAATGTGAAACGTGTCCGGTCACACCACAATTATTGTTTATAACCATTTTGTGTGTATTTTACAGAGAGATTTGATAGTCCTGAACGAGGTCATTGGGGTGATGGGAACTGACGCTTTGGCCTCCTCCCACCCGCTCACTTCCAAAGAGGAAGACGTCCAGAGGCCGGAGCAGATCAGCGAGCTGTTCGACTCCATCACGTACAGCAAGGTGAGATATATTTATATAAAAAACACACAACTTACCTTTAAGTATTGTTATCGCCAAATCCCACCAAAAAATATGTTTACTTCCACCAAACAAAAACAAGGCAAGGCAAGTTTATTTAGACAGCACCTTCCAACACAAGGCAGTTCAAAGTGCTTTACACAGATTAAAGACATTAAGAGCATTGAGAAACAGT